TCTTGAAATATTTCAATGGTTAATATTTTCTGCATGCCGAGAAAGATATTTTTCTTTCTTCCTTTTTTTTTTAAAGACCTTTTTGTTTTTTAAGAGAAGTCATTTTTATTTATTTGGGAAAAATACATAAGTTCCTATCCCTTTTAACTTCACACTTTCTTGGCTTGCATTCTGGATAGCATGTAATACTTTTTTAGTAATTGTCTTGATAGGTTTTAGACGAAGAAAGATGGTAAATGGTTGGTCTGTAGCATTTTGCAGCATTTTATAGGTATGCCATTCCCATGACTGCAGCATTACCTAATCTTCCAAGAAAACAGAACTGTGCTATTTCTATAATGTCATCTTAAGCTGTGGGCACCCCCTCATATGAGTCCACATATACTGTAGGAAGATATCCTAAGTGACACATGAAGGGAGGTTTTTTAGTTTTGTCTTCCTTTAAGGTGTTCTGTATTTTCCTATTTGTCTTGTTTCTTTTCAAAATTCTATAAAGTTCTGGAATTTCCTAATATAATGCTTCTCTTGGTACACATGATTATATGTGGGAAAAGTCTATTGCAGAGAAAAACCAGCCCAGACCATGGTTTGTGCTCTGATTGCAAGTGCTTTGTTTGGATCAACACACTTAAAAATTAGGGTCTTGATAGGTTAATCCCCTCTCCCCCACCCTGTACTGAACCCAGGGACTCTTTACTACTGAGCTATATCCCCAGTCCCTTTTATTTTTTAATTGAGACATGGCCTCACTAAGAACCTTAGGCTGGCCTTGAATTTGTGATTCTTTGCGATCTGAAGAATTGCTGGGATTATAGGTGTGAGCTTTCTTGTCTTGCTAGGATGAATCTTTGGAACTTGTAACTATAGGATTATAAGAGTGGGTAATAAATAACTGATGATTAGTCACTCAAGAAGTTTTCAAGCGCTGGGGCAGCCCTGTTAAATGAATCTGGCTTTCTCTTCTTTCAGGCAGATCTGAAGGTGATGGATTGATTACCACCTCTTTCATTCATGTCTCTTGTGATCTGTTTGTGTCTTTTGTATCAACACTGCTCTCATTCTACAGTGTCTCATAACATCCACTGGGAAAGACCTCTGAACATGTCCATTCAGAGTCCATTATGGTCCTGCATGGCCCCGCATAGCCCCTCCGGAACCAGTGCAAAAGCAGTTTCAGGCTGATCCCAGGATTACAGGAGGGTCACTGCTGTTTGTATAAAAACACAACCTAAAACACAGTGTCAGAGGAGGGCATATTTCAGGTCGGGGTCTGTTCTCGAATTGCAACAAACAGCTGTAAGGCAGACCCAAGACCTTACATTTCCTTTCTTCCAAACATCACATTTCTTTAAGAAGGAACTACTTTAAAAAATTTCTCTGATTCCCTGTTTATATTTTTCCATTTACAGAAATGTTCCCTAGAACATTTATTTACTCCAGTTAGTCTTGATGTTGAAGGTGAAATTTTAGCTAAAGAAAATAATGCTAATACAAAAGAAGAAAGAAAGGTTTGGCTGTAATTTCTAAAGTTTGAGCTTATTGTGGATAAAATTTGTCTCAGATACTCTGTTATCTGAGCACCAATGTGTTTGGTATGAGAACCAGTTCTGCATGTCCAACCTTAATAATATGCTGTTGACTGGAATCTTTCAAATACGGAAAGGAAACCAGAAGTGTGGCATTTAGTTCTTAGTTTCCTTGAGCCAAAACCTCCTCCTAGAATTCTTCTAAATATTTAACTCTGTTTGAGTTTGTACCCTCTTTTGAAAATGCACCAAATACACTAAACCTCTTGCTTTTTTAGCTGAAAAAGAATCACATTTAGTAATTTTTAGAAGAAAAGTATGCATTGTTATTGTACAAATATGATCACTTACATATGAATTTTGTTTTTAGAGGTGAGAGGAAAGTTAAAGGCTTAACTCTTCTAGATGTCCGGATAGTGAGGAGATTTGTGTGAAGTTGTGTGTGTGAGACTAGTGATGATTTTTATATGGGGCTGTCTATGCTAACTGGCATTAGGATATGTGTTAGTGAATGTGTTCTAACAAGTTTAAGGGAGCAAGCATCCTCTCACCCCGTGCCTCAGAGAGTCAGGGAAGGGAGAAGATGGGGTTTGTCATGGTGTTGTTTTCCACAACTGGGCAATTGCCATTGAAATATTTCTTGAGACCTGGGAAAAGGAAAAGTCAGACTCCTCTACCAAATGCCAGGCCATTTCTCATCATTCTCCTTAGGAAAATTAGTTTTTGGAATTCATTTCCAAGTGACGGTTTGTGGGAGTTAACTGTGAGTTAAAATATCTAAGAATGGACTTTGATATCCCTTGAAGGGTGAAACTGCTTTTGCTTGCTTTCAGTATCTCGGTTTTTACAAATAGGTGAGATCACAACTTGACAAAGGCCTTTTAATAAGTTCAGCTGATTTGATTTGGACTTTGAAGTCCTTGGATTGAAAAAAGTTCTATTCCTGCCTTAGAGCTTTTTCTGTTTTCCCCGGTTCCCATTTCATCCGTGATCACTAAATAGGAAGATCTTGGCTACATAGGATCACTAAATGCAATAAAATAGCAAAACAAAATAGACATGGACAGTCACAGGTGACCGTTCGAAGAATACTGCAGTTCTAAAATAGGTTAAGCCTGTTGATCATGACTTTATGGATGATTTATGGTACCAACATTTTTTAAAAAGTTAATTCCTCCTTTTTCCCCCCTAAAGTGTGTTTTGTTTTGCGTACGGAGGATTGAACTCAGGGGCACTCCACCACTGAGCCACATTCCCAGCGCTATTTTATATTTTTATTTAGAGATAGGGTCTTGCTAAGTTGCTTAGTGCCTTGCTATTTCTAAGGCTGACTTTGAACTCCCGATCCTCCTGCCTCGGCCTCCCAAACCTCTGGGGTTACAGGTGTGCACCACCATGCCTGGCTTCCCCTAAACTATGGGACTTCAGATGAACCAAAAAATGTTTTTACTGTGGCAAAAATAGATAGAGTATAAATTTGTCATTTTAACTATTTTTAAGCGTACAGTTAAATAGTATCAAGTACTTTTATACTGATACACAACTATCATCATCATCCATTTCACAAACATTTAATCTTCCCAAACCAAAACTCTACAAACATTAACAGTAGCTCCTGACTCCTCTTTTCCTCCAGCCCTGACAACCACCTTTCCAATCTGTCTCTGAAGATCACTCTAGGTAGTTATGTAATTTTACAATTTTTGTCCTTTTGTAACTTATTTTACTTAGCATAAGTAATATCTTCAAGGTTCATCCATGTTGTAACATATTCAAGGATTTCATTTTTTAAGATTGAATAATATTCCTTTGTGTGTGTGTGTGTATATGTGTGTGTGTGTGTATGTACATAGTTTTACATATGCTATACTTTGTTGATCCATTCATCCATTGATGGGCACTTGGGTTGCTTCCATCATTTAGCTATTATGAAAAATGCTGCTCTGGGCATGGGTGTATAAATATCTGTACCCTGGTTTCAATTCTTTGGAATATACACCCAAAAATGCAATTGCTGGGTTGTATGGTAATTCTGTGTTTGCTAGTTTGAGGAGCCGAGATATTGTTTTCCACAGTGGCTGCACCATTTTACATTTCCCACTGTGGTGTTAACATTTTTATGTAGCTGCTGGACATAATATTCTCCAGTCTCATGGTACTTTTCTGTTTCTTAGTATACAGATTAGTAGGCAGAGATAAAAGGTTAAGATACACTCTCACTTGAAATTTATTTAAGCACAAATGAAAGATGGTGAAATGGCAGTGGAGGAATTTGGTAGAAAGAACAGGCATTGCTACTGTTTTCATGAGTTTATGAAAACCATTTTAACGTTTGAATCTTCAACACTTTAATCTTGTATGTACACATTTCCTGTGGTTGCAAGTGTACCTCGAAAAGTTTTTTTTTTTCTGGTGGGGGGGGCGGTTTTGTTAAATTGCTCAGGCTGGCTTCAAACTTGTGATCCTCCTGCCTCCCTGAGTCGCTGGGATTACAGGTATACATCACTATACACAGCTCAATTCTGATTTTTTAAAAAGCACAATACAGGATTAAAAGTCGGTAAAGCTGTTTCCCTACTTGCTGCCTCACCTTCTCACCCCTTTTTCCAAACATCACTGACCTCTGATCTCTGCCTCATCAACGTGCTATCACTGCCCTTTGCTCTTCTCACAGACCATCACGTGTTGGCAAAGAAGAGGATTCAGACTGAATTTATTCTAGGCCAGTTCTCTAGACCTTGAGAGAGCAAAGCCCATTCCCAGGATTTCTTTAGGATGTGCTTAGGGTTACAGATGGTTCGTTGAATGACCTTTCCACTGACTTACTAGCCAGATACTTCCTGAGACCATTTGGTGAATAAAATTGAATTCCTAAAATGTATCCCTAGGAGTTAGTGCCCAGGTGGGGAGGGTTGTCTCTAAGCAGGAAACTGGCTTTCTTGGGGTGCTCTATGTGGTTTTTCACAGTGAAATGTTTGCTCTTTGATGTTTCTGTTGATTATGCTCACACTTGCTTTTAGTCAGTGAGAACCTGGGGTGTGGCAGAATGACAACTTTGTCAACTTTGTCTTTGGTTTTCATTGTTTGAACTAGTTTTATCTTATTCCCTCCTTGATTTTTTTTTTTTTTTTTTTTTTTGTGTGTGTGTGTGTCCAATAGTTTTATTGGTGAATGAACCAGGTAGCCTTTTCTGTGAAAGGCCAAGTTGGTGCAAAAAAAAAAAAAGGTAAATTCAGTTTGGCTACCCCTGTAAGGATTTATTTTTTAGAAAATCATGGCTCATTAAGGTAGATAATGATATTGTTTTTATACATGTATACTTGAAACCATTAAAAAAAATAGAGGCTGTAACATTAAACCATAATCTAATCTGCATGTCCATCTGGGCTTCTGCATTCTCTGGTCTTTTGAAGTCCCTGGTTCCAAGTCTCAAGGCTCGAAACAAAGCAAAGAGCTTGAAGACTTTGCTTTTTTCTCTACAATTCAGTCTTCAGCAACTTGAGAGCTTTCTTCATGTTGTCAAGCACTGGTGGGACAAAAGGTTAGGATAATCAAGTATCATCACAAATTGTATCAGGTTTTAAATAACAAATATAATCAATCTCCAGACACAGTACTCTATTCCCTGCTTAACAGGGTGCCTTTAAATCATGGAATGAATTGCTGGTAATATACTGTAATTTTTTTTCTAAAATTATGTGCCATGGCTTTTGTGACCACCCAGTTTTCTAGTGTGCTCATTCCTTCTCAGATCTTTTCTCCAACTCTTCTTACAAAAGAATCTCTTCATAAGCTCTATTGGAAGCATATAATTTTGACTAATAGAAGTACATTTTAAACCATGTTCATAGGAAATATCCATTAGGTGTGTGAAGCTACTGCAAATTGTTTTAGAATTGGGTGGAATATAAATTACAAATAATAGTAAACCAAGTGTTTGACACAGATAAATTAATCCAAATGAACACCCTATTAGCATTGGGTATGGTGGTGCACGCATGTAATCCCAATGACTCAGGAGGCTGAGGCAGGAGCATCCCGAGTTCAAAGTCAGCCTCAGCAAATTAGTTGAGTCCCTAAGCAACTCAGTGACACCCCATCTTTAAATAAAATACAAAAAGGACCTGAGATGTGATTCAGTGGTAAGAAACCCCTGAATTCAATCTCCAGTACCAAAAAAACTCTACTGTCACTTCATTTTTAGATAATGAAACAGGCTTAGATGGGGCTAAGCATAGTTTGTGCAGGATCACACAGCTATAACAAGTGCTGGAGCTGTGCACCAGAACCCAAGCTTCTAACTTGTATCCCTTTAGCAGCAACTCATGAATATGAGATCTGGGATCTGGTGACAGGATATCCACATGAGAGACCTACACTGAGCAGCTGCTTATTCACACGTTCCACAAATATTTATTACATGTCTGTTCTATAGGGCATTATAGGATACATGCTGCTAGCTCAAGAATGGTCAGGACTTGCAATGTGCTTCCCCTTGTCTGCACAGCTCCTACTAGAGACATTAATGAACCATGAGGAGTTGTTCCGTGGATAAGGCACAGACTTTCTGCCCCAGCAAAATATTCTAAGCCAGTGCTCTCCAGTAGAAAACCCCTTGCTGTGGACTGAGTATTTGGAATATGGATGGTATAACTGAAAAATGGAATTTTTAATAGTAATTAAAAATTTAAGAGCAAAAAAAAAATTACATAGCAACAAGTGGCTAATGGCTAACATATGGGTAGTGAGGTTCTAGGCAGTCACAATAATTGATCAGTACTGGTTCCCAGGATAAAACCCAGTTTTCTTCCCAGTAGGAGTAAGCAGATGTCATAGCCAGGTATATTCTCCCATTTAGGTACCTCATCTGCCTCAAGTGTGTGCCTGCATCCCCCTCCCCCACTCCCCTCTCTCTTCCAATATGGCAACTGCTAAAAAAAGTGAGTATCTTGGCTATTCCTTGGATCATCTTGCCCATTGATCTTTAAATTGAGCCTGACTTCAGCTTCAACAAGCTGGACTATATTATTTCGGTTTGTGATTTGGGGAGAAAAACTATGCTAATTATTGCAACTCTTGCATCAATTCTGTGAAGGAAGGGGTTATGTGTTAGTTAGTGTGCCTGAGAGATAACCTGAAGTCCAGGTAATGTGGTCATGGAACTTTCCTAGAGAAAAAGATACTTGTTCTAAAGGGTTCTTCTTCACTTGAGATAAAAATAAAATAAATTGAATTGGAATGAGAGTGATTTACCTCGTTAAGGTCAAACTGATTCTGTCTCTGCTGTACTTAGCAGAGCTCTCTCTCACTTCACCTGTGCCCTCTCATCCCACCACTATAACCAACCTCGTTGTGCTACACCTGGACAACATCCAAATTGGAAGTACCACTTACATAAAGCTGTGTCCGAAGGTTCATAAGCATAGAGACGATTTGAATATCTTCCGGTGATGTCAGCTCTGACTGTCAGGGATGGGTCTGCAGAGATAAAAGGAATGGGATTTTTGTTTTGTTTTTTACAAGTAGCTTTTATTTCACGATGAGCCTAAGTACTCAATGTCCTGTTGAACACCGTGTGTTCTGCATCACGCTCCATCCCGTCTACTCTGCTGCCCAGCCAATGCAGGGCTGGGAGCATTGGACAGCTGTGCTGTGTTGTTTTTGGAAAAGGATATGAAACCTGTTGTTCTGTCTAAAGTGACCTGAAAATAGGATTATATATATTTGGGGGATGATGTTTTATTGGTGAGAATATTAACATCCATTCCTACAGAATTATTGTAAACTTCTGGAATAATTGCATTGTAGTTGACATGTTTTACCAAGAGCAACCTGGATAATTAGAAACTTACATTTAATGCTGGTTTTCATTTTCTTTTAACAAATGGAAGAATGCAAGCCCTTAAGAACAGCAAGGTCAAATAAACACTAATTGTTCCCCACTATTTTTTACTTTGTTGTTAATTAGCTGCATTTTAAAGATAGAAATTTGAAGGGCTGGGACTGGGGCTCAGTGGTAGAGCGCTCATCTAGTATGTGTGAGGCACTGGGTTCTATCCTCAGCATCACATAAAAATAAATAAAGGTATTGTGTCCATCTATAACTAAAAATTTTTAAAAAATAGAAATTTGAGTCTTTTGTGTCTATTTATATTTCTTAGATTTAAATCTATTTTGTCATGTTTTATATGTAGCTTGAAGTTAAATGGTTAATGAGAAAAGATCTTAAAAATAAGATGCACCCAAAAGAGGTCTGAGTGCCATTCTACCAATGAGAGAAACATGGTGCTTCTTTCTCAGATGTATTGTGGCAGAAAATGAAAAGTTAAAATTAGCTGATGAGGAAAGAAGTTGTCTGTGTAAATAGGTTAAAGCTCACACTAAAGAAAATATGCTGTGAAATGCCACATCCACAGGAATGCCTTGCTAGAGTTTAGCAGTGATCTTGACTGTGTCGAAGTGGCAGAGTAGTGTGAGGAGGAGAGAAAGGGATGTGCAGCACTTGCACAGTGTATTGAGCATGTTTTATCTTGTCACTCTCACTTACCCACAAACATAATCCTGGGGACGTATTGGCCATCAGGAGAAAGATGTTTGTCAGTTGTTTCATACTAAGATTTAAAAAAGAAATGCAGATTTTAGTTTGCTTACTCTTTGATTATTTTCAAACTTTTTAACTCAAGATTGTGTTTGTGCCTAGCCTGGTGGCAAATGCCTGTAATCGCAGTGGCTCGGGAGGCTAAGACAGGAGGATGGCGAGTTCAAAGCCAGCCTGAGCAAAATCGAGATGCTAAGTAACTCAGCGAGACCCCGTCTCTAAATAAAATACTAAATAGAGCTGGGGATGTGGCTCAGTGGTCGAGTGTCCCTGAGTTCAATCCTCAATACCAAAAAAAAAAAAAAAAAAAGAAAAAGATTGTATTTGTTAGTGGGCTAAGAACAGACGATATCTGCTCCAAAGAATTTATGGATATAGGTAGGGAGATAAGTTACGTGCATGAAATAATAAGAACAGAATGTGATGCAGACCATGAGGTAAAGAATTGAATGGATGTGATATGGAAAGACCAAAGAAGTTCAAGAAGGAGTATCTGGAAGGAGTTGTGATGTTGTGGGGGAAGAAATCTTGGATGAGGTAGGAGGAGATGGATTAAAGGGAAAAAAAGCAGAAGATATTTTTGGAGAAATTATAAAAACCAAAAGGATTTTCTTGAGCATTCATCTGTCGGTTTCTATTTAGAATGTTACTGATTTAGCAAGACACAGTGCTTATTTTTAATGAATGCATAGTCTTTTGTGAGATCCAGGTAGGAAAGTGCATCCTGAGGGTCCAGTGGGTGAAATGTTATGATGGGATATACAGGGTTTTGGATGACTGGAGCAGGACACCGATCCCAATATGAAAGTTCCCGGGGACTTTCTGAAGTGGGTGAGGAGGAATATTAAAGTGAACAGGGATTAATTATGTGGGGGAAAAAGATCACTCCATGAAGTAGGTCAGTCGGTTAAGTGCAAAGGTATGAGAGGAAAACATGGCATTTTTCTTGTATGACCAACGCTTGGTCATAGTGAAGCATTATGGACTCTTGAGAGCAGTTAAGTTGCTTCTGGGGGCATCTTCTGACTGGCCCTGTTCACCATGCCACAGAGTTTTCATTTGCTCAGAAACACTTACGAGCTCCTGAAGGGATGCTTGAAGAGGCACCACGACCTGTTTGGTCCTTAGAGTGATTGCCCTGATAGCCCTGTGGGATCAGGTGAGTTTATCTTGTAGGCAGGAAGATGCTTAGTAACACTGCAGTAAGCTAGGTGAAGTGAAAGGTCATACACTGCAATGTATAATGATAGCAGGAACATTTAGAATGTATGAGCAGAGAGCTTCTTGACGACTACAGATGAGGAGAGTGTGATCCAGAAAAAGCACTGCTTTCAGTGAAATAGGGAATAAAGACAAATGAGCTATTTGAAAAACCTGAACCAAGGTGTGGAGCATATTGAGTTTAAGCTAATTATGAGCTATCTGGAATAGGGTTGGATAGGCAAGTTGGAAGTTGGTGCATGTTTAGGTAAGATGTAGGAAATTAGTGTATAGGAATCAATTTAACTCAAGTATAGTTGATGATGTCCACAGAGAATACAAGATATAAAAAAAAAAAGTGGGTTATCAAATAGAGATTCATTGAGTCATTCACGTTAGGAGTAGAAAGAGGAAGAGGAGCCTATGGAAGGGAGATGAGAAAGAATTATTGATATGGATTGTTCTTTGAAGAAGCCAAATGGTGATGAGGAAGAGAGGCTCAAGGGAACATATGCTTAGTAGAATTAATTTTGTTTGTTCACTTTCAAAAGGAAAGTGGAGCTGGGCATGATGGAGTATGCCTGTGATCCCAGCAACTCAGGGGAGGCTGAGGTAGGAGGATGGTAAATTCCAAGCCAGCCGTAGCAACTTAGCGAGGGCCCAAGCAATTTAGTGAGACCCTGTCTCAAAATAACAAAGGGTGGGGATGTGCCTCAGTGGTTAAACACCCTGGAGTTCAATCTCTGGTACAAAACCAAACCAAACCCAAAAGCCCTTTTTGTCTCCCCCTGGGGAAGACAGGAAGCTTGAACATCAGGAGAAGTGTCCATGGTGAAGTCAAGTGGGAATGCATGAAGCTACAGTGTGAAGAGGCAGGATCTAGATTCAGAAAGCCTGGGAACTGGCTTCTTCACATGGCAAAGGGACAGTGATTAAGAAGCTAGAACTTCTGGGGCACAGACACAGGAAGTACTTTGCAAAATGTAATTACCTTTCCATTATTACAGAAATAGAAAATATCCTTGCTGCAGGAGAGGTTTTTTTGTTTGTTTGTTTCTGACAGGCTAAGGTTATTAATTACTAAATAAAAACATAGACATGCCAGATAGATTATCAATAAGATGAAGTATCTTTTTTTTTTCTTTCCAATCTATGAGATGGGCTATTTGGAAGAGATCCCAGTTAATGCAGTATGACTGAGATATATAGAAAAATGAATCACCCTTTTCACATAATGAACTGGAGGGGGGGATGTTAATGATGAAAAGCGAACTTACAACTAGATTGAGGAGGACAAACTGCTCCGCCAATTTCTGGATATCTTTATTGTCAGCAAACACTTTCTTTAAAGCTACAATGTAAAGCAACATCATTAAATAGTGTCAGCATGGGTTAAAACTCTTGTTTTCTGTTGTGTTTTTAAATCAGTTGTGTTTTCATGTTCTGCCAGGCTGGGATGGACCCAGGGCCTTGAACATGCCAGACAAGGTGCTCTACCACTGAGCTACACCCCAGTCCCCAAGTTGTGTTTCAAATGCAATACACCTTGCCCTTTCAGTGAACGATTTGTGAAATAACACCCAACCATTGTCTCCCTTTGCTTTTTTTCCATTCACTCACCCATTTACCTTTTTTTAACACATATTTACCGACTGCCTACTATGTGGCAGGTATAGTTTTATGCTCTGGGGAAGATGCAATAAAGAGAAAAGCATATGCTTTTTCTGTAGAAAGAGGCTTGTGTGAGGGACAGACCAAAAACAAGTACATAAACAAATATTTAGTAATTTCAGGTGGAGATGTGTACTTTGAAGAATAAGTGAGGCAAGGGGTTTAAGAGATAGGGCAGACCTCTCTGAGGAAAGACATTGAAGACCGGGTGGTCCATTATGTGGGTAGTGAGTTAAAATTTGGGGGGCAAGTCACTCTTGGCAGAGGAAACTGCAAAAGCAATAGCCTCAATATGAGAGTGGACCAGAGACTCAAGAAATAGCATAAAGTCCAGGCTAGATAGAGGACTCTGAGAGCAAGGGAGAATGGTGGGAAAGGAAAGGTAGCCTTTGGCTAGACTGGTCAGCACTTGGGGTTTAATTCTGCCTGTGAGGAGAAGCCATTTGAGCAAAAGAGTGACAGGATTTGCTTTGTATTCATTAGCCTCTCTCTGGTTTCTGTGTGGAGAACTGACAGGAGGGTGATGAGTTAGTGGCCGTTACAGCATTCTAGAGCAGATGTGATCTTGGCTTGGGCCTTGAAGCAATAAGAAGTACTTGGAGGGCTGGGGTTGTGGCTCAGTGGTAGAGTGCTCGCCTCCTGTGTGTGAAGCCCTGGGTTCAATCCTCAGCACCACATAAAAATAAATAAAATAAAGGTATCATGTCCATCTACAACTAAAATATATATATGAAAAAGAAGTGATTGGATTTGGTCAGGACCAGCTAGATAATGTATCCCAAGGGCAAAATGAAAATGCAAAACCTTTTGTTCAAGAATTGTTCATAATTTTAAGACATTGGTAGCAGAGAACTAAATAAAGTGTGGGAGCCTTTTAAGTTATGGGTCCTGGCACAGGTTGCACGTGGGTGAAGCTAGTGCTGGCAGAAGGTCTTTGAAGGTAAAGTCAACAGTATATGCTGATGTCTTGAATGTGGTACATAAGAGAAATCATGAAGTCGAGATGAATCTGAGAGCTTAATGTTCAAAATATGTATCAATGATGAACACAAAATGTGTAAATATTTGAGTTACTTTAAAACATGTTTTACTACATAATATATACTTCTTTATATATATACATACATATATTTATATATTTTTATATATAAATATATAAAATATTATATTTATATATTTATAAATATATATGCACATACACATACATATATATGTGTATATATATAATAATAATAATTAATTTTTTTTTTAATAACTGGAGAGTGAACCCAGGGCCTCACTCTTGTGCTAGGCAAGTGTTCTAACATAAAGCTATATTCCCAGCTCCAGCCCTCTCTTCTTTCTTTCTTTTTTAAAAATTTTTTTTAGTTGTTGATGGACCCTTAATCATTTATTTATTTGCGGTGCTGAGAATCGAACCCAGTGCCTCACATGTACGAGGCAAGCACTTTACCACTAAGCCACAACCCCAGCCCTCCTTTCTTATTTCTACTGGTATAAAGATAGGTGATCCGAACCCTGGTTCTACCTAAAAGCTCATAAAGAAAATCATATTTAGAAGAATAAATACCTTGGCTGTGTGGGCATTCATCCAAGTGATGAATAATCATCAAGGGCTTGTTACTGTAAGAGACAAAGGGTGATTTTTGGTGGATAGGATTTCATATAGACCTAGGGTCACTAGATGGTGCTCTTGAGAGCCCAGAGAGGGCTCTGTTTAACCATTGTCTTTACCTCGTCTTGGATTTGTATAGAGCTTCTTCATATGTCTGAGTCCAGATGAGTAGATCACCCCAACCTAAAACAAAATAAACCAGCATATTTCAAACCACTATAATTTCAGGCCAAAACCTACTGAGAAGCAATAGTGAAGACTGGAATAAATATATACTCAAAACAACCTTGAGAAAAAAACCTTGAGAAAGTAGAAGTAATTATGAACTAGGATAAATCTAAAAGAAACAGAGTAAAATATATTCTGTGCATGCATTTCAGCACCAAGAGTTAGGAAGTCCTTCCCAATGAAGTAGGAGCTGAAAGCCAACGAGAGGCTGACTCCCACCTCTGGAGAGGGTCTGTGGCAGTTTGGGTTGAGAGTCCTTTGTGTCCTTTTTAGCTCCAGGTTTGACTGTGGTCTCTTTGGCCAGACTGTAGGAGAGGGCCACAAGGAGCAAGAAGGCTGACATTGAAATTTTCTCCATGGCAAATCTATATGGAAAACAAACAAGAAGGAATTAGGACTCTTCAAGATCTATAGATTATGTCACAGAATCTGTGTGTAGTGGAATAGAACAGAAACAGGCTCTTCTGAGACTGGACTCGTGAGATTGGAATAAAAGCTAACTCCCATGGGATTTTCATAAGAATACACAGTATGTGATGGGCACAGTGGTGCATGCCTGTCATCCCAGTAGCTTGGGAGGCTGAGGCAGGAAGATTGCAAGTTCAAACTCAGCCTTAGCAATTTGGTGAGACCCTAAGCAACTCAGTAAGAACCTACCTCTAAATAAAATATTTTAAAATGGGCTGGGGATGTGGCTCAGTGGTTGAGCACCCCGAGTTCAATCTCTGGTACAAAAAATAAATAAATAAAAATATACATTGTATGTCGGTCTCTGTCTCTTCCCCTATCTATCAATAGATATAGATCCATAAGAGAAACAGATATAACTTAAGGAAGGAGATAACTAGTTAGATGTATAAACTTCCCCCCCCACACACACACACACAGTGCTGGAGATTAAGCCCAGGGCTTCATGCATGCTAGGTTACTATTAAGCTACATCCCATACCTGTCTATATATACTCTTGAAAAAAAGGTATAGTACCAGAAGTTATTTTAAGCATTACTACTTCTTTCCCACTTCCCCAATGCCTCATTATGTAGGTGAAGAATCCAAAGTTCAGAGAGATAACATTTGTGAGGTGGGTCCAGCACAAAAACTTCTAGATCTTTTCATTTTACAGGGCTGGCTTCTTCTCTCCTCCCTAAAACAATTACCCTAAACAGACTGGTTTCTTTAAGTTAAAATGGGTACATTGCCATTGAAGAATGAGCTATAAATAAAATGATCAATTCCTTATTTCATTTAGAACCTGCCAGCTTTGTCACTTAACTGAAGATTTGCACCCACACAACTCTCTCCCTGGTGTAATGTTTACTCAAACTCTGTATTAGCTTTGAATTGACTGAGACAATCAAAGTCAAATTCCTTCCAGTGAAACATTCTTTGTGTGGGTCTTCAGAGATGGGTCGTTGTGGGCATACACTGTAGAGCAAAAAATATTCTGTGAGATTCATAACATGAAGAAATAAACCCCAGGGGTGTCTGTGAAATTTCTTTTTTCCTTTCTGCTAGGCAGGCTTAGATGCCTGGGAACAGGAATGTGAATGACAAGGTAAGTTCCATGAGTGCTGAGAGAAAGGGTGAGCTTAGTGAGCATAGTGGTGGCGCCACAAGTCAGTAAGGTTATCTTGGGGCCAGAGCATAGAAAGCCAGAGACTTGGGATTCTGGTAAAGCCAAACACTAATATTTCTTAAAAAGAAATAGGGAACCATGGCACCTAATACTTGGGTAGTTTTTTAATTAAGTCAGACTCTTCAAAGGAAGCAGGATGAATCATTGTTGCTTAGTGTTTGTAAGCCGGGAGTTTCAAACAATTTGATAGCTCAAGTGGCAATGTTTCACTAAGCATTAGATGATTAGAAAGAATGTTGCTGGGCCAGGGTTGTGGCTCAGTGGTAGATGCTTGCCTAGCATGCTCTAGGCCACTGGGTTTGACCCCAGGGCCACATTAAATAAATAAATAAAAATAAATAAATAAATACATAAAATAAAGTTGTGTCCATCTACAACTAAAAATACCAAATCCAAGAGATGTGTTCTGTTAAACTAAACAAGTGTTAGTAGGCAGCCACATAATATCTTAGAAAAGACATAAGCAAAATTCAGGGATATAATTTTTTTCTTTCTTTGTTTTTTCAATGCTTAGGATCAACTCCAGAGCCTTATTCATGCAAGAACTAGGCAAGAACTCTGTGAATAAGCTATATTCCCAGTCCTTTTTACTTTGAGACAGAATTTTGCTAAGTTGCCCAGACTGGTCTTGAACTTGTGATTCTCTAGCCTCAGCCACCTGAGTAGCTGGGATCGCAGTATGCACCACCATTCCCAACTTAATTTCTTCATTTTTTTATATTCATAAAGATGTAGAAATGCCAATAATAACTTTTGTCTTCTAAAGGTCTACAAAAATAACTCAAGTATAATATAAGTCAACAATACCCAGCCCTCTTAATATAAAAACTACTTTTTAAAATAAAAAAAGAACTTCCTTGTGAGAATCACTATACTTTTGAAATATTGGTTCAGAAATGTAAACTACTTTGAATTTATCAACAGACATTTGATTTTGGATTTTATAATAGCATCTATGAATATTTGAAAAAATAATAGTAAATTGGGGGCAAAGCACTTCAGTCTGTTGACAATTCTCATATACCTAGTTCACAGGAGCCCTTGCAATAGTTCCACGGGTTATAGGTTGGAACTATTGGTAGATTACATGTGTTTTATGGCAGGATGACTGAAGGAAGGCTAATATAACTCCTGCTGTGCAAACATCCTGCTCTGGGTGATTTTCTCAGATTCACTCCACCGAGTTTTCATAACATGAAGAGACTCTGCTCCATATACTTTCTGCATAAGCTCCTCAAAACACAATGCTAACTTTGGAAGATTTTGATAATTTGGAAACACACATACACAGGAACATGAACACACACTGACACTTTGTGACACCACTTTTTACTGGTTGCTCCATCCTGGTCTTATCTTTAACAAAAAATGAAGTTGCGGGAGGTTTCAGAGTCTCTGTTATTACATATTATATCCAGCAAAGTAACTCACTTTCTTCTAACCGACAAGCCCATGAATTTTAAGATTGAAAACAAATAAATGAACAACAACAAGAATGTCTTTACACCAGACCAAAAAAAAAGAAAAGAAAAAGAAACTCTTTCTGATTTGTAATAATATATTCCACAGGGGCAATTTGAGCTAAATTTTCGCATTGGAGTAGCTTTTGGGTCTTTGCTTAGCCAGTGGGAAAGAAGCAGAGCATAGATAGTGACTGAATGGACATCCATGGGCCCTGTCTCAAGCTTCAAAACTCCTATAATTCACCTGCTTTAAACCTCTTGTTTCTTAATGGAGAAATCACCACTTTGAACCTGCTCAGGAATGTTAACACTACAGCTTTAGTCAAAGGTCCCAGTAAGCCTTTGGTGGAAATTTCATTTTTCCATCTCCAAACCTCACTTCAGGGCAACCCAGGAAACTTGCATTTCTCTGTCGGTTGATAGTCTGCAAAGTTACAGAGCAATCAGAGGCCAAAGCTCACTCTAACAAGAGCCATTCCAAAGCTGTTGACAAGAGCCTTACCTGGTTTTCCCCACCCACCTGCCTTGTGAACCGGCTGGGATGTGTCCAAGCTTCTGAGTGTGCCAGGACAATTCAGAGCCTCTATTTATGCACCCCAGCACACCTCAATCCCACCCACTAATCCTGCATTTACATGTTGCTAACTCGGAAGAAAACTCTCCTTTCCCCAAGCAATTGTCTTCCCTGGGTTAACGAGTTTCTTGTTTGTAACAACAACATTGCAAAAGGTATGCTTTTCAATATGCATGTTTTTAAACTATTTGTGAAAGTATATTGTTAAGAGTTTTGGAAAAGACAGGCAGAGTGCCAAATCCAGGTCAGCTTTAAATGAAGACATTTGATTTGTCTAAAGGCTGATTTGTCTTTGTGTGATTGGATGGTTTGTGGTTTAGAGAATTTTTTTTTTCCTCCACCTTAGGCAGATTGCCTTTATTTAGCTAAAAACACGAGAGATGATTCATAATTCTAACCCTGGCAGTCATACAACCTGCCATACTCCATTACAATACAAATTATTTTCCACAATACAGTTCCTTCCTCTGGTGTGTGTGAATGTGTGTGTGTGGGGGGGGCAGCACATTAACTACAGCATAAAAAATACAAATTAAGTACCAATTGAATATTTCAAAACTGAGAAAGTTATTGTAAAAGGACATTTGACACTATGAACTTGTAAAAACTACATTACTGATGAGTGTATATAGCAATTTCACTCCAAAGACTGAATTCAAAGGTATTTCACAGATATTTTTCTATTTATGACAAACTTTCCTTGTAGGCATATAGGAAACTACTTACCTAATTTTTCAGACTAGAAACTATGCCTGCGACTTTATTTATTTATTTTTACTTAAGATTATTTGATTACTCACTGAGGATTTTAAGACTGGAACTCAAATTTTCTTTCTTTTTTAAAAAAAACATTTATTTATTCTAATTAGGTATATACGACAGCAGAATGCACTTTTGATTTACTGTACATACAAAATAGAGCATAACTTTTTATTTCTCTGATTCTACACAATGTAGCGTTGCACCATATGGGCAGTCATCCATGTACCTAGGGTTATGATGTCCATCTCATTCCACCATCTTTCCTGCCCCCATGCCCCCATCTTTCTCTCCCTCCCCTTTGTCCAATCAAATGGAACTCAAATTTTCTGTTAGAAAATTTTAATCCTTCCTGAGTTTTCTTCATGAAGTTATATGTAATCCCTAAAAGCTCAGAGTGGAGAAATCTTTACCAGAAAATTAACTTATGAGATGCAAATTCTATAAAGTAACTTTTAAAATGAGTTAGGATCATTATATTTTAAAACACTTTCATGCACGAATCTTTTCCCTCAATTTTCTCAATTTCTGAATTCTGTAGGCTAAATGTCATTCCCAAATGATGAATTTTCTTTGAATTCTAAACAAGTGTACAGAGATAATTTCATTAGGAGTTTGACTGAAAGCAGTAATTTGAGCTAAACACTTATAACTAGAATGGCTCTTATACAGACCCTTAATCTTTTCAGTCCTTAGAATGTTCAATTCAACTCCCCCTCATCTGCAGGTGAAAAAAAATGAAAACATCAAAAAGTTAATAATCTTCCAAAGGTCTCACAACCAGTTTAGGGCAGAACTGGGGCCAAAGCACAGGGGTCTTCTAATCAGTCATATGCAGAGAGTGTATGGCATTTAGAGTCCACAGATTCCAGAATGTGAGCATTCTGCTGCTTGGTCACTGGATGACAGCACAATGTCCTTTAACA